TTCATCTTTTCTTCAATTTAAGTGCGGTTTTGTTGATTCTTGGTTTTCCTTTGGTGTTAGGTGTGAAGAAAAGAGTGCTTGAGGCTTCAATTTTAGTTCGGCTGTGCTGAATTGGTGAGTGGCAAAAACCAAAACCTCTTTCTCAATATTCAAGCTTGCATGTGTGTGTTAATTGAGATGGACATTTAATTGGGTTTTGAAAATGGGTGTTGAAATTAGGTGTCAATTGTTGAGTTTTGTTTTGAAAATAAGAATGAGTTTACATGCATGGAGATACATTGCATCCAAATGTTTGAATCACGGGCTGCATGTCATTCCTTTAAGATTTTGGTTGAAATCCTTAGAATTTTCTTTTAAATTGAATAATCTGTATGTTTAGTACCAAAATGGGTGAAATCTCAATTGGTGAGTGGATCAAACCAAAATTCTTCTTTAAAAACTTAAATTTATGTCTGCATGTTAAGTAAATGTGCCATATCATGCCGTTTGTTGCATCTTGCTTTTAAGTGCGAATTTCTTTGCTTGCATGTCCTCGGCTGAACATGGAATGAGTGAAAATGTCTCAGATTTGACTTGAATAAAGTTTATTTGTGTTGCATGTCGCCAGATCTTTCCTAAAAACATAAGATTCATGTTTGCATGTTAATGTTATGTTGAGAATCTGGTTATTTTGTGAAACTGTTTAAAAATCTTTTCCCTTCATGCTTCGGCTGGGTTGTTACCAGTGTTTGTGTAAGTAAATAAATGGCGGTTGTGTTGCTGGAGCATATACTTGGATGTTTTGGGGTTGGACAGTAGACTTGATGGTGTTGGAAGTATGTTTTTAAATGAAATAAATAGCTTAAAAAAAAAAAAAATTGGGTGTGACGTGTTTCTTATTTACTTATATATCTCGGCTGAACTGGTTGGATGAAACTGCACTAATCTTGGTTCTAAAAAGTGATTTCAGGCTGCATGTTCTCTTTATATGGAGTAGACGCTTAAATGAAACGAAAATGGTAAGGTAGAGAGAAGCTGGGCCCGACTGGACTATTCTTGGGAATTTTCTGGCTGTGTTGAAATGCTAAAGTTTGAGTCATGCATGTGTGAAGTCGTAGGGGTTATCAAGAGGTAGTTTAAGAGGGGAACATGAAATGCTCAAAATTTCCTTTTAATTGAAATTACCCGTGAATATATCCATAAAGAAACTGCTATACCCTTTGCTTACACGTGTGAAAATGTGGTCCAGCCTGCAAAGGATTATAAGAGTCTTGAAGTGATAAAATTATGTCTAATATCTATATATATATGAATTTGAATTAATTTTTTCCAAAATTAATGAATTAATACTTGTCAGTTATAATATTGGTGGCTTCTCCAAACACACCTCTCATCAATTTCCTTTTCTAGTCAGTTATTTTTTATTCATCATTTCTGCCATGATCACGTCCGCATTTTTTAAGCTCTTCACCTACTTTTTTTTCCCTCTTGTTTATTTATTTATTTTTTACTTTTCTTTAATTTTTTGCAATGTTGTGACTTGTGAACAAAAATTAAAAATAGTTATTATTAGTGAATTTGATTACAAAATAAGTATTTCGTGAATTTTATCTTATTTTTCATTAATCAAATATCATTACCTAAAATGAAAGCCTTGGCAAATTTCTTACAATTCTGACTTTAAATTAAATATGCGAATCATATATATAATTTGTCAGCTTAATATTAGTCGAAGTTTAGTATTTTTTTGTTATTAATACAAATCAATATTATAATTGTAATATAATTATTTAAACCGTCTAATTTTTATATTATTAAGAAACAAATATATTTTATTTTTCAATTATTTTAGGCAAAGTCAAGTACTCACATTGGCTACTTCCCTTCTTGAAGCAGTTGAGTTGTGAACAGAATCTACGCAGCCCAAGCTCCGGGGTGATGTTTTTAACTGTATTTTATACAAAATTTGAAGTCTACAAATAGTTCTCCTGGGTCCTGGTTTTATATATTTTAGAAATAACTCATCTCCGATAAGAATTCGTTCACGGTTATGGGAGGCGCTGCTGAACTGAAGAGTTGGGCCAACCGGAGGATACAACAGAGAAAGCAAAAAACTGCCAGTTTATGGAAAAGATTTTTTGCTAGTTTATGGAAAGGAAAGACTCAAATCAACCCACCTGAGGCACCAACCTTAAACCCGGAAATCGGGTTGATATTGGCCACAGCCGTTGAATGTTGGAGTTGTCGATTACTTCAACATTAATGGGTAACGCAGACGCACTCGGGGGTTCTGCTGTAGGATTTCTTTTAAGTTACTAATTCTTTATTGGGTTGGGTTTAGGAATAGAAATCCTTATAAAACTAGGTTTAAGGAATCCTTATAAAACTAGGTTTAATCTCTTAAACCTAGTATATAAACATATTTTTCTCTTATTATGAAAGTGATAGCAAATCATAGGGCATGCAATTCATTCATTGTAAATGAGAGAGGTGAGACATATTGCAATAATATTAACTCAGCTGGACGTAGTCCACATTGGGTAAACCAGGGTAAATCGCGCGTGTTATTTTCTTTGTTTACTATTTGATTTGTTTTATTATTATATTTTGTTTTTGTTATTGTCTCTGTTTCGTTCATTGAATACCCTTTGACAGAAGTCTATGAGAAACAGGTGAAGTTGTACGAAGCTGCCAAGGTAGATAATGTTGATTCCATCCGCAACTTCTTTTTTCAGAGTGATAAAACTGTGGAGAGCTTGCTTCAAGCTTCCTATATGAAACTGTTGACTCCAGCAATACATTGCTCCATGTGGCCGCGAGTTTTGACAGCAGGAAGACTGTGGGATTCATTGCTCAGATCGGTCTACCAATTCTCGATAGGAAGAACTCGAAAGGAGATACTGCTCTGCATGTTGCTGCAAAAGCTGGACATTTATCCACTGTAAGAGCTCTCATTTGTCCAGTTTTAACTTCAAAGGATGATGAGTTGCAAGTCAGCGAGGATGATTGCAATTCACCGTTATCATTTCGACTACGGATCAGCGAAGATGATTATGATAGATCATTCTTTCTTGGGATAACGAATGAAGATGGAAATACTGCTTTGCAAGAGGCCTTGATAAATGGTCATACATCCGTTGCTGAAGCGTTAATCGAAGCAGATCCTCAAGTTTCTTTCAATCTAAACAATGAAAGTAAGACTTCTTTGTGTCTGGCTGCTGACGCTGGTTCCTTAATATGTCTCAAATCTATGTTAGAGTCAACTGAAGCTGTGAACCCAGAAGAAAAACTTAAAGGAAAATCACCTATTCATGCTGCCATTCTCAGTGCTACTGCCAGTGCAAAGACGGCGACCGGTAATGACCTGGAATACTATGAACATTTAACTCTCTATTGATGTGGTTAAACCTCTAATGACAAGGATTATTTATTTATTTATTTATTATTATTTTTGTTTTTTATGAAATGCAAAATATCTTGAAATTCATATTGTGGAAGGAGCCAAAGTTCATCCATGGAAGAGATGAAGAAGGAAGGACGGTGCTTCACCTGGCTGCATCTGTTGGTTATCTTGAGACTGTTGACTACTTGTTAAAACACTTTTCTTTTACTGCTGTTCAGAGGGACAACAGAGGCGCCTTTCCAATTCATATGGCGGCTATTGAAGACGATGTTTCCGTTGTTGAGAAGCTTCTTTCTAAACGCCCAGATCCTTGGAAGATGCTCGACAGTAATGACCAAAATATGCTTCACTTTGCGGCTCGGAGTGGAGCATTTAATGTTGTCAGGTATGTTCTCGGAATTCCTGAGCTGAAGATGCTTATAAACCAGAGGGATAAGGATGGAAATACGCCCTTGCATTTGGCCACCATCAACTGGCATCCCAAGATTGTTAGTGCTTTGACATGGGATGAGAGAGTGGACATGACATTGGTAAACAATGAAAGAATGACAGCTTTTGATGCTGCTAAGAATCACATGAAAAGATACAGGGTGTACTCTTTTCGCTTGGTATGCAATTGAGATTGATTGCTTTTAATTTTCAATTACAAAACTATAAACTTTTGAACCTGAAAATTTATTGACATAAACTTGCCATCTTGCAGCGATTAACATGGGTGGCATTAGAAGCAGCCGGAGCAGCCCGAGCTCCTCCAATGATTATGAACGCTTATAAAAAGTCAACAGATTCGAAGCCACTTGAAATGGACTACTACAAGGACAAAGTCAACACTCTTTTGGTGGTTTCAACCTTCGTGGTCACAGCAACATATGCAGCTGGATTCACAATGCCCGGTGGCTTTAAAAATTCTGACCCAGACGAAGGCACGGCAACCTTGTTAGGACGCAATGTGTTTGGAATATTTATTTTCTGCGACACTATAGCTATGTACTGCTCCATTTTAGCTGCAGTCACTCTTCTCTGGGGACAGATGGGTGATGCCTATGATCTGGTGCTAATGGTCGTCCGATTTGCGCTGCCATTGATGGGGATTTCTCTGATTATGATGAACTTAGCATTCATTGCTGGTGTATACCTTGTGGTGAGCAAACTTAGTTGGCTTGGCATTGCTGTTCTTTCCTCTTTTCCTCCCTATCTGGTCTCAAAACCGCATTCTACGCCGCATGTTTCATCATCCCTTTCAACTTCTGATAGAACTCACTGGGAGTTATTAGTTATGCAATTCTGTATCTTTTTCTTAATATGAATTTCTCTCCTCTGTGAGGCAGTAAATCTTTTGATATACGATCAACTGTCAAAGACTAAATTCATCATTTTACAATGTCATCTATTTCATGTTTTGTAAAGCATAGTCTATGGTGTATATAAAGAAGGAATATGGCAGTATGTTTTCATTTTTTTTTTTTTTTTTTTTTTTTTTTTTTAACTCTGAAGTTTGAATAGATTTGATAGATATTATTATTAGATACTAGAGACCTTAAGCTCCTATCATTTCTTTTATGTCATCAAAGAGCTGAAAGAAGACATGCCTTCAGGACTACATTATAACTCCAGAAATTTAGAACCGTCTCCCTCCAGGGCATTTGGTAGGCAAAGGAGCCCCACACAACAAGGGATTGCCGTCAAAAATGGCTGGATCATTGAATTGTGGCAGTGAAGGGATTCTTCCAACCAAGTTGTTGTAAGATAAGTTCAACTGGGTTAGAGATCTCAGGGTTGACAAGCTTTCAGGAATTGGCCCTGAAAGATGGTTATGTGATAAGTTCAACATTCTCAGAGCTGAAAGCCTTGCAATCTCTTCTGGAATTCTTCCTGTTACATTATTCCACGAAAGGTCGATGGTGTTGACACTCGCAATAATGCTACTGTACTCTGGATCTCTTCCTTTCATCACAACATATATCAGCCGTTCGAAGACTTCAGTGTTGTTTCCAAAGACCAAGCCTGATAGGTTTCCAATACACCTGGGAATATCCCCTGAAAACATGTTGTGAGAAAGGTCCAGGATGTGAAGATTCCGAAGATTGCAAAAACCTTGAGGAATATTTCCACTGAACAAGTTTGATCGAAGGCGAAGCATAAAGAAAGAGGAGAACTTTTCTATCCACAAGGGTAGATTTCCAGAAAATCTGTTTCCTCCCAGATCAATGCTTGTCAGTCCTGTGCAATTTTGCAAGGAAGAAGGGATTTCCCCATCAAGATTATTATTGTTCAACATCAGCACACTAAGGGAAGCTAAGGAGCCAAATGAACTCGGAATGCTGCCAGTTAATGTGTTGTTTGACATATCAATTCCCCATAACATTCGAGATTTGTGCCAACAGTTGGGGAGTTCACCATACAACTTATTGCTCCGAAGGGAAAGAACTTGCAGACCTTCTAGTTCACACATTGATGAGGGGACTTTTCCGTCAAGACGATTCCAGGAAAGATACAGTTTTTGCAGCCTTGGCATTAGGCTGCCAATATTTTCAGGCAAGGATCCTGAAAATAAGTTGTCCTGAAGAGAGATCTCAGATGCATTTGTGGACCAAACCGGGAAAGGGCCCTCAAAATGATTAGAACCCAAATCAAGGGCCCTTAAATTTGGAAATTCCAAATGGTGTGGCAGCTTTCCCTGGATCTGGTTATTTGATAAAATCAAATAGGTGATTTGAGAAGATAGTTTTGAAAACCAGTCCCCTGGAATAGTGTCCGAGATTCCAGCATTTCTAAGGCTAACAGAGGCAAGTTCACTTTGATGAATAATAATTCTGACACCATTTTGAGATGCACTAGCTAAAGGGAAATATAATTTACAGTGCAAAACCTAACAATTCTATACTAAAATCTAAAATTTGTAGTTGCAAAACCATTATGCAACTATAATCATATGATTTTTTCTTTATGTTATGTAGTTTGCCACATTACTAAAAGTGATTATTTTATAAAAATTGTATAATTTCAAAAATATAAGAGAATACATATGAGTTCGAAGAGGTATTCGTATATTCTTTTTGTATAGAAGACGTGCAAATAACCATTCAATAAAACATTTTATGTCAACTAAATTTATTACCTGGATGGTTATTGATGGATTGTAGGATGGTTTTTTTTTTTTTTTTTTTTTTTTTTTTTTTTTTTTTTTTAGCAACAAGAAAGTTTCCAATCTATGAATTTAAAGGAATAAGATTAAGAATTAGCTAAAAAAATGTTTAGTTTAACAGCATAAATGATTAAATTTCTTTAACTTTCTTCTTATGGAACAAATTTTTTTTTAAATTTCATAAGCATCCTATAAATTTTACATATATAGTGTAATCCCCTACAATTTTCAAAATCCTCAATTTTTAAGGTTCTTTTTTTCAAATCTTTCACATAATGTGCCAAAATAACCTACTGATGAACAAGGCCATAACTTGGTCTGGAAATCATGAGGCAGGTAATATATATATACAGAGATTTACCAATATCAATAATTAATTTCCTGAAAGTATACTAGAACTGCAGATTCTTTAAGATTTCCTGGCGATTATTCCCGTAAATTCTTATTAGTCAACCAATAACGTTAGAAGTTTCTAAGTTTCAAACTCACCGAGAAACCATTAAAGAAACTTACCAAGAATACGTGAATAAAATTTAAATTGGTTTATACAAGAGGAATATTAATTTGACTTGACTTTGTTTCTTTTATGGACTTAAATTTTTCAAATTTCATAAATTATTTTATAAATTTTTTCTGTTTATATTTTTATCACAACAATGGTTAAAATCCATCCTCCCTTGCATTTTAAGGGATTTTTTTAAAAGGAATTTTTTCACATATATACCAAAAACAAGCCCAGCAATGTGCTTCAAATCCATTTATTAAGCCAATTTCCGCCCATCAGGGAGTTCATCTTCTGGAAAATAGTAGGGCCTAAGTCATTTTATTAGCTAAATTATAATTTAGAAAAAGGACATAATCTTTTAATAAACTTAAATTGAAATAAAATTATTATCCGTGATTGTTTTGCAATCCAATGAATATGAGAGAGAATATAGAGGTAGGTATTTGTTTGTCACATCAGTAACGCCTCATTATTAGATTGTATTGAATTCAATTGAAAATTGTGCAAAAATTTAAAAAATTTTAACGTTAAAGAATACCATCCCTTTAGAAAATAATATATAAAAACTTAAATGATTTTGTATACGAGCTTTTAAAGTTTAAAGTTTGTTGACTTGCTTGATTGATTGTTGGGGATTTGATTGATTGTTTTTGAATTAAGATTTCCATTTATGGTTGTTTATCTTTATGTTTTATTTGCTTTTGAGATTGGATTTTTATATGAATTTAGTAAGACTCTTTTTTGAGTCTTGTTTGAAAAAGGTGCTCTGTTTTCCCCTGTTTCTACTTTTGCAGTTGTTTTATAGCATTTTGTAGGCGACAATTGTCACTTTTTTCTCATTGTAGAAACCCTTTTAGTCTTCAATTGAGAAGACTCAAAATCAAATTATCTCATGAGTGATTAACGATGTTTCAATTTCAAGTATATTGAGTGATTGGAGCTAGAGCAAATGAGGCATGAAAGTTTTGTTGTTTAATCAGTGTTGATTGGTTTTCTTTTTCCCGCTTTCTTGCACTCTTAGAGTGCTACTTTGCCTTGAAGGTATGGAACGGTCAACAGGCCGGAGCAGCGGCGGTTTTAGTTGCGGATACCATAGATGAATCTCTGATCACATGGATGTGCCTTAGAGAGCACTGATGCAGATGGATATGTAGAGAAAATTGGAACCCCTCGGCGCTGATAGAGCCTCCTTGGCGAGAGCTTGAAGCAGGCCTTGAAAAAAGGAGAAAGACGACGTGATAAAATTGGACTGAAGCAGTCCCCCACCTGCCAAGAGTTGATATGAATTATGGACAAACAGCAACGACGAGTGTGGAACTTGCTGCGATGAGCAGATGAACTTTGTGAAAATTTCAAGGCCAGCTCAAATCCTGGAGAAGGGAGGCTACACTTTTGTTTATACCATACTACATTACCTGATTTGTCCTCAGGCTTTTATTCTCAGCATCAATGCAAGTCTCAGTGCATAACCACGGAACATGTTTGGGAGAAGGACAAGGACGATTGGTTTTTCGAGAATAGAGCAGCTTTGGGCAGCACGAGTCGCCACGAAGCAACCAGTCCTGTGTTTGGTGAGATTATGTGACTGATTTTATATCAAACGCTCCTTGAAGAAGAAGAAGATAGCAAAGAGTGCGCCGAGAATGTCATGGAATCTCTTGGTGGTCACATGATTGATTAGTTGTGCTAAATGGAACTCACTGTTTTATTCTAATGATTTTAATCTTATTGACTCAGGTCTGCCCATTGAGAGATCAAGAAAGTGTATGGGGGTCCTGAAGCTGGGTGAAAATTATGCTGAAACTCAGCTGGAACTCCAGGTAATTCAACTTCCAGAAAAACAAAATGTTTTTTGGCTCAATTTAGAGAACTCCTGGCAGCATCATTAACTTATTGTTTCTTCTGTTTTATTTTTGAATTGAGGTTGGTCGAGGATCTCCTGGCGATGTCCCATCTTGCCAACCTGGTCATCAATAATGTCAATATCAGGTTTGTAATTTATCAATCACATTTTTGTAAACTTTTGGGTTGTATTGGTCATTTTTAGTGATAAACCCCAATCCAGGTTTCAGTTCCAACTCTAAACAGTCCAGTTCTGGTTCCATGGGATATGGGCGGATACCCAACCGCCCACCCCTAGTTTTGGTAGATCTGGAGACTAATGAGTACCTGAAAGGAATGGCGATTGTTGGTAGGACACCAAACCACATCACTACTTGCAAGGTACACATCTAAATTTTACAAGCAGCATAGATATTATATGTTCCTTACGAATTGTCAAGTGATAAAAAAAAAAAAAAAAAAAAAAAAAAAAAAAAAAAAAAAGGGGCAAGTTAAGCAGATAGATATGCCGCTTACAACCACCAATAACAAGCATCAGGCGAAGCACAAACTTTACATGATTCGTGCCTCTAAGATCAATACCCTAATCTATTTTTATGCTAAGCGACTTTTGCAGAAAAAATTTCTAAAGCAACTTATACACAAAAATACTTTCGAATTTATAAGATAGATCGACACAACCACACAGATTTTCTTCATCCTCTATCGTGCCTCTTTTGGGCAAACCTTTGAGTTATATGTATACAGACTTATTATTCACAGGACCGTTTCTTTTCCGCTTTGTAGATACACAAGTCAGCTCTAATGTAGGTTCAAAGAATACCGTAATCAACACAAATAAAAGGGCCAGTGAGTGATGCATACGTAAAAATCAGATGCTGCTTTACCTTGTTATATTTATATTTTCCAAGAAATTAAATGTTGTTCTTACGACTAGCTTTAACAAAAAAACTCGTATGTCATGTAACCAGAGATTTAATTAAGGTAACTCTATTTTACAGACAATAAAATTTGTACTTCAGCCAATGTCCCTTCCGAGTTATACTTCGTTCTAATGTTTCTCACCCTAAAGTTCAATTAATAGAAAATGGTATCTCATAAATAAGATCCTGGAAGCTCTCTTATGAATTGTCAAAGTAAAAAAAAAAAAAAAAAAAATGAAAATTAAGTTTGATATTATCTTAAATTTGTTGGTAACAATTAACAACAAGATGGATATTATTAGTTCATATTTTAGCATTTCTAATTGATTAAATTTGGCTTAGGGAAGTTAATTAGTTGAATATTTTATGAAGATAGTACAATAAATGGCAAACCCATATCATAATCCAATTAATTCCATCCTAAAATAACAGTGTTATAAAGTAGAGCAACAACTAAGAAACTTACTAGGGTCCAGAACTTCACTGCCTAAATACAATAGCTGCTCCGATGACATGTGGTAAGTTTTTCACACAACCGTCTCACCTGTACTTTGAAATTGTTACAGGGATTGTGCAAGCACGCTCTCAAGGGCTCTAAAATGCCGGCGTAACAATCATCACTTTGTGGGATTTGTCGGCCAAGCTTTTTAAAAATGTCCACTATTACAGCATTGCCCCAACAGAATTTTTAATAATTTTTTATCGAACAAGCAATCACTCCTCTTCAAGCGGATAAAAATTCCAATGCTCCAATGCAATCACATTTCGGATCAAGCATTATGTTTCTTCAGTTATTTAATGCATGTGATTCGCAGTTCAGCTCTTTTCAGACTATTTCAAAGATTTTGTGTCAAACCGCTAAACTTCACTCCTAACTTGCAACTTGACTGCTAAAGTAATCTATGCTGCTTTTTGACTCCACTGGTGGATGATTTCGGACATCTATTGCGTGAAGTTCTCCTGGGTACGTATACTTTCCTTGGTGGCTCTTTTTGATTTTGATTTGCCTTTTCTAGCTATTAAAGCGTGTCATACAAATCGGTGAAATGTTTAACCTTGATCTCTCTCATATTTTGCGGAAACGGAGGACAAAAATTTACAAGAAAGTTCATGAAAGTGAGATATGTCGAAGGGGAGGAATTAACTCATCCTCGGTCACTGGCATGGAGCTCCATCTGGCTGTTTCGTTAGAATGTGTGTGCACAACATTTTATGCTTTTACTCTCGCTTCAATATTTGCAACCTAGCACGACTTGCATGTCGATAAAGTGAAAAAGTTTTTTATTTTTATTTCTCACTTTTTATGACTTTTTTACATATGTCATAACACCCTTAAGTGGTTTAGGGAATAAAGTTCTTTCCCAATTTGTTTTGTGGTCCAAACTGTTGACAGAAAAAGTTTTCAAGCTTCAATGCAGTAGATTATGGTCTGCATATTCTGGGAATGCAATTTGAAGAACAACTGGCCGAGCTACTTGCACTCAGTTAAGTCGACTTGCTAACCAACTTGCATTTTGTTATGCAAGTTGCTGAACAACTTGCATGCAGTTAAGCAGTTGTTGATCAACTTGCATGCAACAAAGAGGTGTGTTCTTCGGTTATGATCGAATGGTGAAGAATGAATTTCTTTGTTTCTGAATAAACGGTGTAGATTTAATTTGACAAGAGTTGGTACTCTACCTTGGGCATATATAGTCATAAGTGTGCACTGCTTTTTTTACTCAAGTAAATGGAATAAAACAGCACAGTTTCTAGAATCTTTACTCTGTTCTTTATTTTTTTTTCTTCTCTTTTTTTTGTTCTCATGGTATCGAGCTATGATATCACTCAATGGCAGATCCTAAAACCTCTCACCCTCAGTTCTTCCTGCACTAAAAGCTTATAGCTAGAAGGCTTTGTTCAATATAAACCTTGCCATCCTACCTTTATTATTTCTGAAACGTGAATCAAAACAAACTTAATCAAGAACACTTATATGGAAAAAGATTGATCAGTTGTTATTTAGCTGTTGTATCCACCATTTCAACACTATGTTCAGGCACATTGCTAATTGTTATACAACATTTGATATAGGCATGCAATAGAGATGCATTTTCTAACAGATTCTAAGGCTAGGATCTTACACCTAAGAAATCAATTACAAACGACTAGGAAAGATAGCCTAACGTAAATGATTATGCTTAAAATGAAAGAGACTGCTGATTCTTTGACCACCAATGATATGGTTGTAACTGATGAAGAGTTGCTTTTATACGTTCTTGATGGGCTTGGAACTAAATATGATGCAATGGTAGCCACTTTAACTGCTAGGAGTAGAGAAAGTATCATTACAAAGCACAATTCCTGTTACATAACAGGAAATGAGACTGGAAACAACACTCTGCCTATTAGGTTTTCATGAAGCCACTACTTTCTTGGCAAACAAACAGCCTTCCAACTCTCAACTAACCACGTCATGTTAAACACCTTAGGACAACAACAAATCAAT